TAGCTAAAATTTCCAATACAACAAAATAAACACATAATTTTTCCTATAAAGTAATCTAATTAGAAACTAAAGAAATATGCAAGAACTATAAAAGTAAGAAGCAAAGAAAGAACTTGCTGAAAATAAAGGTAAAAAAATAAAAGTAAATAATAAAGGAAATTGGGCGCTGAACCATCACGATTGCATAACTAATTGCGATTCTGTGTGTTCTGTGACACCGTAGGAACGGGCATGACATCCATGCCATTCTTCCCGGTTAGGAGAAGCTTCCTTTTCTTTTCTGGAAACACTTGGGCCCACTGTCTAATGTTATTTTAGATAAAAATCTAAATAGATTTTTAAAATATCATTTCACCACTTCTATCTGACCATCTGTTTTTGGGTGTGCCACTTAACCGAACTAAATTTAGTACATAGCTTACTTTATAGGGCCTTCCAAAAATGTGTCGAAAACTTCTCATCTCTATGTAGCAACATGTTGGATTGCTCTCAGTGGCAACTATCTTGTGTTCGATATTAGATTCTGAAACTCATCACATTTTGGGATAACTAATGGGAGTTCTATTGTTGCTTCTCTCAAGACCTACAAAAAGATAGTTCGTGGCACTACATTGTCAAACTACTCATACTACTTCCAAGGTAATATTGCAATTCACTTGCCATATTTGGTGAAAAAGTATGTGTTTCTATAGCCATCATGATGTGTGCAATGATCATACTATTGAGGAAGGTCTTATCGGATGTGACATGTATATATAGATACTGCATTACATCACGTTTGCTCCTAGAACTTATATTAGTAGAAAAATCCACCAGTCATTTCCTATCAATATTGATCTTACTCTATTTCTTCAACCAAATCAGGGAATATGGTTGGGTATGCTTCTGAGTAGTGAATCTCAATTTATGCACCGATGTCACATTTTCACAACTGCCCCAATCCATAATGAGGCTGCACACATTTCTTTGCATGGTTTAATGGGTACAAAAAATGTTACGACGGAGCCATCATTGCTCTCTCATGGACTTATTTTAAAGGACCCATCAGTTCACTAGCATCTCTCCCTCATCGGTCGGAAGCTGATAATCTGTGTCCTCATCTTTTCCACTATCTTCTATGTCATTATCTCTTTTTTTCACAACTCTTTGTTCAATGAAAGTGATCATTCTCTTCGATAATCAAATATGATATTTACCCAAAATTGTGGCACTTAAAGTATTTCCTGACTGGGAGGAATTTAGGAGCTGATGGTCTTAACCCTTCTTTATGTTGGATTGGTTTCTCCTCAAGTGAGTCGGCTCGGGTACACCACTTGGTGTACTCTTATTGCCCGATCTAATGGCTGAATCCTATTTGAAGAGTTGTGTGGACCTGAGACTGCTGTGTTGTCTCTCCACCTTCAGAGTTAGGTTTGAATATCTTGTAATGTCCATTAATATTGTAGCTGTACCGCATTGTCAATGAAGGATCTAACTCCCCACAAATATTGAGCTATGATATTTTTTTAGGGCCCACTAACTAATAATTCAATGCAAGCTACTTGAAATTATTGGTGTACTACTCTACTGAGAAGTTTTACTGTTACAAATGGTGAAGACTCAAGAACACATCCGGTTTGTAATGTACTGTTTGGTACTAAACTGTATCTCCTTTCTCATCTTGGATTAGGTTGAGATTTTTCTTTTTCCTCTCGCTAGCGTTGTTGTTTCAAAATTTTCCACCATAAAAATGTACTTCTCTTTAGCTTGTTGGCAATTAGTTTTACCTGTTTGTAATGTGGAATGTCCTTGTATTCGAAGATTCATTTTTACTGTCTGAAGCCACTCGATGAATTACTCCTGATCCAGATGATCTTCATTTTCTAAAATCTCCACTCTAAAACCTTAATTTTTTCTTTGATATGTATATTGGTTCGTCAATTGAAGCTTCCCAATAGAAAAGATTCACTTCCTCCCCTCAATCTAGGAAGTCAATTTTGTTGCTATGGGTGAGCTCACCGAATTGCCTTCTCTCAAAGGTGACAATTCTCTCTTATAGTTATAGTATTTTCTGTTGTATCTTCTCCATGGTAAGTTCATGTACACTTTGTTGATGGTTTTTCCTCGACGTTGCATGACTTTTTTTCTTGATAAGGTTTTTGACAAATGTAGGATTGTGAATTAAAGGTTTGTCGGGTATTAAGTTTTTGGTTGAATTTTTAGTGGAGGTAGAAATGTTGAGTCTTGAAAATTTTATGTTTAATGATGGAAATTATGGTAGGTATTGTTAGGATATAATGTTTTTTGATGATTTAGGTTATATGAAATTGTGGGTAGGCGTAAGATCAATGAATCCCCAAAAAATTAGTGTTGGCCGGGCTTTGGTACACGATGATATTGTTCTAGGGCTCATAGAAGGTGTTTTAGAAGTAGATTTTGAGGTGAGTTAGTTGTGGAATAGTAATTGAATGATAATATGTGAGGTCGACAACGCTTTAAAGGGGATAAGTGTTGTTCAACGATTATCTCGACTGAAAACAATAGAGGGAACCATGAAACTACAATATACGAATTGTGAGGAGGATCCACCTCATGTTTTTAATCAAGATGCAAGTATACCACTTACAAAAGTTAATGATACATCACTCTGAAGAGCATAAAAAAGAAAATGAAGCCTCCAAAACTCAAACTAATAGCCAAAAGTTTCCAAACTAATAAAAAATTACAATAAATAATTTCCCCTAGAAAATATCCTATTTAAAAATTAGAGAAATAGATAAGAACAAAAAATGAAGAAACAAAGCAAAAAAACTTATTGAAAATAAATGAAAGGAAATGAAATAAATAAAAAAAGGCAATTGGGCGCTAAACTCACGTGATTGCAGAGCTAATCATGATCTCGAGTGTACCACAACATTGTGGAAATAGGTGCGACGCCGATGTCAAGAGTAAACAACTGAGTTTGATCAACTCATGCTAAACTTGGAGCTAGTAGAGCCTAAGGAGAACACCATGGCTCGATATCTAGCGGAGTTAATACTGTGTATTGGGAACGTGATATAATTATGATCCTATTGGTTATTACAAGATGTTCATTTTTAGATGTGATGGTAGGGGTGCAAAAATTGACTCGACACACCAACTTAATCCGAACTTAACTCAAAAAATTCAGGTTCGAGTTGACCCGAATAATTTTCGAGTTGGGTTTAGATTAGGAATCTTAACCTGTTTAATTTTTAGAGTCAGATTTGGGTTGACCCACCAACCTGAAATTAGCTTGAATCTGACCTGCTAACCTGAATTTGTTTGGAAATCGATCTGCCAAATCAAAATTGGACTAAAATTGACCCAAATTTGACGTGAATAGTTGTTGCACTAAATGAGCTGTCTAGGCCGAGTTTGGGTTGGCGAGCTGAAGATTGGTATGGTTCAGGTTGGAATTTCTAACTCGTTTAATATTTAAGTCGGGTTTTCCTTGGGTGAATTTTTGATTAAAATGGAACCCGTCCTGTGAACTCGATTTGACACCCATACCTGAAGATGGAGAGACAACTCATCTATATCAAATCCACACTACCTTTCAAATAGGGTTCAACCATCAGATTGAGAAGCAAGATTACACCCAATGGTGCACTCAAGTAGATCCCACCAAATAATAGAATAATCGATATTGGAGATTAGGTAGAATCCACCAACATTCCCAAATTCGTGCCAACTGGAAAATGCTTTAAGCATCGTGGTTTTGGACACATTGTATCGATCGCCCAAATGGAAGGATGATTTCGTTTTTGGAGTAGGGTGCTGTAGAAAATATAGACAATGACATAAGAGACATTGAAGAAGGCGATGATGTAAAGAAGAAGTATCACTTTCTAGCTGACGGGCAACTGTGCTAGTAATCCGATGGTCCTTCAGATTGAGTTTTTGAGAGAAACACCACCAAAATTAGTATTAGATGTGATTGTGAGTCCAAGGAGTTGATATCCGATACATTGTAGCCTCAGCTAAGTGGATTTCATAATTGTTTGATTTACAACCTACCTCCTAGGTTGTCCTTACCTAGAGAGTTCCATCATATTTTCACTTCAGATAGAAATGAATATTTTTGAGCTATTTATGGAAGATCTTATGGAGTAAACTGGCTGCTAAGTTTTTGTTCGCTTCAGCAGTGCACCCACAGACAGATGACTGGATAAGAGTGATGTACTACAGCCTTGAAAGTCTCCTTAGGTGCTTTGTGGGAAAGTTAGATTGTGGGACTCATATCATTTAATAGAAGAAGAAATTATCTCTCGTACCCAGGGAGATTAATGCAGGAGCTTTTAGGAGTCGCACAACTCCGCAGATCACGGGATTATGCAAATTGTGGGATTCCGTAGCTTGCATAATCAATCTTGCGACTGAGGGCTGCAGGGGGATGTAGAGCCTCTCAGTTTTATTCTATCTCAGCATATTTTTTTTTTTTTTTATTTATTTCCTATTTTTTTTTTCTAATTAGACTATTTTCTATTAGAGGATTATTTATAGGTGATATTTTGTTGTTTTTGAGGACTTTTGTCTTTGTGTATGTATTATAGAGATTGTACTCATATTTCTAGCCTAAGGAGTGTAGTATCTTTTTTTTTTCTTTTTTTTGCAAGTAGTGTGTTTGTAACTTATCCCATGAATAGGTGGTGGACGCCCTCGACCTCTGTACTACCCCATTTCATTGCCCTCCTCGCTGATTTTTAGCGGGGACAGCTGCCGATCAACGTAGACCGCAGATTTCGCCTCATATCTCTTTCAAATGCCATGGACCTTTCATATTCCCCTTCCCTTGCCATCCCACAACCATCTCCTCGCTAAAATTACTTTCTAAACACCTTTTAGGAGCCCTAGAATGGCATCACATAATTTACCTAAAGCTTGAGTTTTTTGATGAATTTTAAATACATTTTATTCCAACAACTAAACTACCTTTTTCATGGCACTGTGCCATTGTCATTGTTACCAATTTGATTATTTGAATTCCTTAATTGCAGGCATGTGTTGAGTTCAACGTAGGGGAAAATGAAGAGCAGTATCAGAAAGCATTGGAGTCGTATAAGAGATCGTTGGACTATTATAAGGTTTGATTTTACATTTTTTAATGCCGTACTCTCTCTTAGATATTCTTTGTTAGTACTGCTGTGCTGTTAAACCATTGACCCGTCTTCTAATGCCTTATCCGAGCTTTAGCGTTTCTGTTTTACCCACAAAAAAATTATGATACTAATCTTAGTTCATGTTCATTATTGTTTAATTTCCTTAATTTCTTACAAGAAAGAATGATTTTGACTTTACTTATCTCCTGCCCCCTTTGCTGGCCTTTTAGCCTTTTTTGGGTTCTTAAATAAATACTGGATATGTCAGTGGACTTATCTATTAATCCAATGTTTTCAAGGGGTTACTTAACCAGGTGATCCACTTTTAAACTTTGATTCTCTACTAACCAGTGTCTTTCATCTATATGATTGGAGCTCCAACCCAAGAAAACCTGGTTACTTTCATTGCTAAAGCATCACGACTGTTTCTTAATTGGCCCATCAAATTTGAACCTATTATCTTTTTAATGTATACCATCAAATGAACTTGATTTCATAATTGCATTTTGACAACACAACCTTTTAAGCATTTCCATGGAGAATTCAATGGTTTATTATGTAATACTTGTGTTTTCTATTTAATAGTCATGAGAACTCTTTGCTCATTTTGAGATTCATCAGAGGGCACTGCGAGCTTATCCTAACTGTCCCGGAGTTACAAGGCTTGGTATTGGTTATTGTAGATACAGGCTTGGTCAGTTTGACAAGGCCCGGCAAGCCTTTCAACGAGTTCTTGATGTAAGTAATTATTGGACAGTTTTTATTCCAGTTTTCATGATCTTGTGTTTATTTTGATACCCTCTTTATGTCTATCCCCATCTTATAGTTAGATCCAGAGAATATTGAGGCTCTAATGGCTCTTGGAATTATGGAACTTCAAACAAATGAAGGCGAGATTTCAAACTTTTGAAAAATTTATTAGCTAGTGAACAGTGAATTTTCAGGAAGTATACTATGTGATGGGTTTCAGCTGCTAAATGGAAGTATTTTTTTATCCTGCGCAGCTGATGGTATTAAAAAAGGCATGGCGAAGATGCAGAGAGCTTTTGAGATATATCCATACTGTTCAATGGGGCTTAATCATCTGGCGAATCATTTTTTCTTTACTGGCCAGCATTTTCTTGTGGAGCAGTTAACCGAGACTGCTCTTTCTGTGAGCAATCATGGGTTGATGAAATCTTACTCCTATTACAACCTAGCAAGATCTTATCACAGCAAGGTTTGGCAGTCATTTTTGTATATACATATTATGTAGACACACATGATATGCTTTAGTTTATGATAAATGTGCTGTTAATATTGTGTTTTTTTATTTTTGAATTTCCACTAGGGTGATTTTGAGAAGGCTGGGCGGTATTACATGGCTGCTGTCAAAGAAATTAACAAGCCTCAAGAGTTCGCTTTACCGTTTTATGGTTTGTTCTTATGGGACTGTGCCTATAATTTTTCTTCCATGCTTTTGTATTTCTGAAAGAATGCTGTAGATGGACATACTTTATTTATGCTGCGAAGATTGCATCTCATATAATATAGTATTAAGTGTTTCCTCGCTTCTGCTTGGAGTTTTACTTTTCAACCGTTGTTCATTTGCATTTTTTAAAACAAAGGTATTAATTCCAGGACTTCTTTTGAAACCACTATTTTTATATTTTCATACTAAAATTGATGTGCTTGAAGATCAAATAAGATATAGTGTGTGGATCTGTGAGCATCCCGATGTTATCAATTTTCTGAATTAATCAAGTATTAAAATGATTTAATAGGCACTATAGAATTCTCATATTTTTTGAAAAATTTTCTTGATGAAATTAGTGAAACCCAACTTCAAACAATCTAGGAAGAGGGCTGACTACTCAATTCTGGTTCTTAAATTTATTCTATTAAAAATAAGGCATGGAATGTCGAGCCTGAATCAATACAACAACAACAACAAAGCCTTAATCCCACTATGTGGGTTCCTACATGAATCCTTTTTCTCCATTGACATATTTTCATTTAGTTCTAATAAATTAAGATCATTTTTTATACAATAAGCCCAAGTCTTCCTAGGTCTACCTCTGCCTTTCTTAACATAAGACGAATCTAAAACATCTACTCTCCTAATTGGATCATCAGATGGTTGACGTTTAATGTGACCAAACCATCTAAGACGACTTTCTCCGATTTTGTCCTGTCACTTGAGCTACACGAACCCTTGACCAATATACAATCGATTTTATATAGGAAAAGAAAGCCAAAAGTCGTCCTATGATTGTTTGTATGCGATCCATTTTGCTCCTGAATATCACATTTCTCCAAATCAATTCCTCAACTATGTAAAATTGATTCAAAATGGTATGTAAAATTGATTCAAAATGGTCCCTCATGTCAAAATTAATGGAAATTGGGATATAATAATGATACTAATTTAGTCTGGATTATATAAAATTGATTTAAATTTAACTCCTAAGGGGTCATTTAAGGTCAATTTTGTTTGCTTGCAAGATTAAATTAAAGAAATACAATACTCTAGAACTAATTGATCACTTATGGATAGTTGGGGCACATTTTGAGCTTTTTTCCTATTCTATCCATGATGAAGAAACTGACCACATGGAGGGATTTTCAAGGAGTTTTTAAAATGTTCTGCATGTTTTATGGTAATTTCTTATTTTTGTTCTTAATTCCTAGCGCTTGGCTTCTTTTGAGGGAATAGTTCCTAGTTTTAAATTTGTTTTAATTTTGCATGCCTAGAATATTGTTTGAATATCTATTAATAAAGATTAAATGCAATTAGTGAAAAAAATATGTGAATTGAATAGACAATTGATTATTTTGATCCCAAAACCTCACTCTTTATCCTTTTATCCACTTTCCTACAATCCAAGGGGAAGGAAAAGTCTTTTGCTGCTGTTGAGCATATAAAACATTGAGAAAACCATCCTTCCAACTGACTTGAAACCATAGACGGCGGTCAGCTTGGGAAGGAACCGGGCCTTCCTGTTTTATTCTTCTTTGATCTATTGCCAAACATAAAATCCAGAGCAATGCAAAGGTAAAAATATTATATAAACAAATCGAGAAGCAATGAAGACTCTCAGGTAGAGGTGAAGTAAAGAACATGGAGATTATCTGCATAGTGGTTTATAGCTTACTAACATTTTTTGGCATACCCTTCTATTTTTGCTTGTTAAATTTAACATTGTTCATAATGTTTGCTAATCTCTATTGCTCTGACACTTAGTTACTCATATTGGGCCTTCTTCAATTAATAAATCAACTTTGTAGGATACTTTAAACCTATTGTAAAGCTTTTTATGATGTCACTATATTTTTTTTAGGTGGTTTTACGTGGGGCATAAAACATCCCTATTGTTACTCACGAAACTCCTAAGGATTCAATCAAATTCATTGGGAAGATTTTGGACACCAATACTTAAGCTTATCAAAGGTGGCTTTGGATCAAGTTGTGGATCAGAGCATGATTCATAGCTTAAAAGAAACTTGAGTGACGAATAATGACAAAAGCTCCAACAATCATTACCAACCAATGAGCCTTTGGAGCAGAAAACAAATAATAGGCATGCAAGAAGAGAACGGTCCAAAAAATGAGAATGATGTTGGATTTTCAAAAAATTACAAAAAAGGTAATAGCATATGTGTTAGAGATTATTGAAGGCCCGTTTTTTATATCATTGGCTATGAAGCAGAGCAATGAATTTAGCGGAAATGATTGAAGCAAAGACAAGTATTAGTACACGAGTATACAATTGAGTTTAGTTGACAAGTTTTGTCACTAAATGTCTCATTATTAGGAGAAAGCAAGTGTTATGAAATCTTTTGCAACACTACAAGAATGCCTCCTAAGGGAGCTAATTTTTTTGGTATAATTTCATACAGAGCACCTGAAACTTTGATATTTACAATTTAACCACCTAGGTGATTTTTTTGAACTACCAAACTGATGTATTTATGCGTGCCATGATCAAACTAGCGAGAATTTGATAAAAATGAAAAATATGGGTGAAAAAGTGTGGTTGATTTGTAAATAGTAAGTTTCGCGTGTTTGTATGTAATTGCCCCAAATGTTTTTAGTGTAGATTATTGCAGAGGTTAACTCTGAAGTTTCTTCTATAGAGGAAATAAGCAAAGCAAGAAATATATGATTCCTTGAAGAAGTGGTCAAAGAGAAGTGCTTTTTGTAGGAGATAAAAGATAGAGGAAAACACTATTATTGTCATTATTAGTTCAGTCGCCAATTAAACGCAGGTTGTTGAAAATTGCATCTTGAAAGGGCCCCCTGGGAAAGAGGCTAGGAAAGCTACTTTCATTATAAAATGGGAGGAGATCATTGACCTTGCAGATTGGAACCAGCAAATCTGACTAATCCAATAGTTGTGCTTATGACTGTAGACAATGATAATTTAAGAGATAAGTTGTATTTAAACTTTACTGAAATGCCTGTCAATAAATATCCTTACTCCTTTGCTTTAATTAAAGTATCACCTAAAGCTTTACATTTTAGGTTGGATTAAAAAGGATGTTCATTATGTGGTGGATTATGTGTGTAAAGTGAAGTTCTGAATTTTATGTTGATGAGGGCTTGTGTGACGTGGTTCATTTGGATGTTTGCTGTGCACTTTTTGATAAGTCCTTCTTTATAGGACATATAAGCAGTTAATTGAAGAATTAAGTTACTTTTCTTTGACGTGATGACCAATTTCTAGTTTTAAAAGACTTTTTTATAAGTTTATCTCAAGGAACAGTCGGTTGGTACTAATAGGAATCAAGGAACTTGGTTTGTTCACTCCATTTCACCATCACTACAAGTGTCACTAACAGTTGTCTCGTAAGCACACTTAATAAGAACTCCTGTATGGTAAAAATAGAAGAGGAATAAGTCTAAGCAAGTTCAACCATAAATGGAGCCGCAACAATTCTTCTCTTGCCAGCCTTGGGAAACAAAGGGGAAATGAGAAAGAAGAAGCCAAAGATCATAGCTTAGCTTAGAAGAAAATTAAATTGTGATCCTTTATAAGAGGAAAAAGAACTTAGAGGTGGCTCTTTGATTCAAATGTCATCAAATCTCTATAATATTGTTTTGAAAATAATTCAAAAGCTTCTAGATAATTCTCAGATTTTATTCGAAAGTGTCACTTGAGTTCTTAGATGTAAAGAGAATATTTTTGACAAGATTGATCTAGTTTAATCTCTAAATTATTCAAGGAATGGAACATAGAGCCTAGCATTTAAATAATAATTAATTATATTCATAATGTTGGAACTAGCCACATGGAGAGAGACTCGAGGAGATTTTTAAATTTTGCATATTCTTTGGCTAGTATTTTCTTTTATGCTTAATTTTCTTTTTCTAGATTTTAGTTGACATATACTTTGTGAGATTAGTTCTTATTTCTCAAGTTATTTTGAGTGCATATTAATTTTTTTTAAACTTTATAAATGGATATCAAATATAATTGGTGAAAAAAATTTGAGAATTGACTACATAGTTGATTATTTTATTCCTACAATCTCCTTATCTCTTCACATTCATTGGGCCTTGGCCTCCAATCCCTGGAAAAGCAAAGGTTTTTGGCTCATCTTAAAGGAAAAACAATGGTTGTTGACCCCATTCTCTTTTTCTCGCTCGCTCTCAATCTCTGTCTAAATTTTTTTTTTGCTTCTTCAACCAGGGTAGGAATCAAACACTTCAAACTCTCTGGCTCACTTGATAATGTCAATTGCCCTCATCCAGGGAAGGAGGGCCTACCTTTTATGGTCCTCTTTGATTTACATATCAAGAAATGACTCACCTCCTTGTTAGCATAAAGATAATAATCACAGATGAACATAAGAAGAAACTATGAAGACTATTTGAAGGTGAAGAACATGGAGATGATTTATATGGTGGCTCATTTTCTCAGGTTTTATAGGTAATATCTTTTCAATTTGGTGTATAAATTTAAAATTTTGTGAAGGAGCTACACCTGATTTCTGATCTTCAATGCCATTCTGGCCAAGCAATGGACAATATCTTGTTATATGACTAGGCTGAAGACACCAACAACAAGTGTTAGAGCCCATCAAACATTCACTCTTATGTTGTCTTCCGCATTATACATGAGTGACTATAATACTTTGAGTCATACCACTGCTACTGAATTTTACTTTTTTTTCCCATTGGATCCTTTTGATTGATCAACATGTTTACTAATCTCTAGTTTACACTTAGTCACTTATATTGGACCTTCTACTTTCCTTAATGAATTCACTTGCTAGGATACCATAATACTATTGGGAAGCATTGTGTGATCTTATTATATGGCCTTATTTAGTGTTAAATTGGGAAGAACATATCCCTCAATTCTATAGCGTAATTAGGCATCATACCATGACCCAAGTCTACAAAAATAATCTTCAATCCACTTGGAAGTTTTTGAACACCAATTGATGTGGGACAATTAATGGTTTAGGATTTTCAATGCAACCTAGAATGAGATGCATAATGAAAACACAAACATATTAGAATATCTAGGCTACCGATTCTTAATTTTAGTTAGAATAAATCACTATTAAAAATTGAGTATGTTAGGTTGTGAATACATATATACAATTTGAAGGATGGCGTACATCACATATATTGATTTTATATATTTGTACACACTTATGTGTAACTCAAATGATTGAAGAAATGACCCCAAAATACTTGCCATATTTGTATGTATCCTATAAGCTTAATGTATACTATTATACACATGTGTGCATAAAAATAAGCAAGTAATTAACCCAAAATTGTTGTACACAAGTGCATATAGCCCTGAAATTGAGTTTACAAGTTACATTTCTTTCAATCTGAATTATTATTTAGTAGTCACAAAAATATGAAGCTTTACCCAAAAATCGTAGGTGAATTTAAAATTTAATCGATCATTTAGTTTCCTACTACAAAAAGGAATTCATTGAATATCACACTTGAAAAAAATTTAACACATACACAGTGGCAATAAAGCAAATTAAAAATAAGAATAACAATATAAACCACAAAAAAAAAAAAAATTGGCCATTGGCCTCACATAATTATAAGATAAGAAGACTTTCCCTTGGAAGTGCTCATCACATCCATGAAGCATTTGAAGAATACACATTCAATCAACACCCCAATTTAAAGTTACGCGGAAGAGGTCTGTCATTTCTATTCTAGCACAAACCGGAACGAGACGTGCCTCACCACCTTTGATGCATGCCTATTCTAATCAAATTATAATCTCACATTATTCTATAAACGATCAGATGGTAAAGCTACCATATTATCTGTGTATGTTGATAGTTACTTTATCTTGTGAGATGATGATTTGGAGATGAGTATCTAGAAAGGGCTTGCTGGGGAGTTCAGAATCAAAGTTCTTTGCTCGCTTGAGTAATTTCTTTGAATGTAGATTGCTAGAAACAAAAATTAGATTACTATTATCCAATAAATATGTTATAGATCTCTTAAAGGAAGTTTTTTTTTTGATTGAAAGTGATTTTGGTATTAGCACTCCTGCGATAACGGAAGATGTCACATGTTTGTTAGAAAGCTCGTTTGTTTATCTTATACTATCCTATTATTGCCTGTTGGCATGATAATTTTTTTTATGCATACATGAGCTTTTACAAGAGTACTCAAGTATTTGAAAGGGAATATAAGAAGGGAGTTATTCTTTAAGAAAGAAAAATCTCAAATAATATAAGGCTATATTGATGCTTATTAGGAATGCTCTATACTTACACATGGGGCAATTTTGTAATATGGAGGAGTAAAAAAAATGATATATGGTGTCAAGGAGTAGTGCGGAAGCTTAATTCAAATCCTTGGCTATTGGGATTGGTAAATTAATCTAGTTTGAACTACTCTTAAAAGAACTTCACTTAACAATTAAAGACTTCTATAATATTATATTGTGATAGTATAAATGTTATTGGTGTAGTGCACAATCCTATCCACTATGGTTGAACTAATAAAATGGAGATATATTGGTACTTCATTAAAGAAAAATTGAAATGGAATCTGTGTTTTATTCAGTCCCTTATCCGATCGGACTACTGAGATCCTAGCAAAGTGTTGATGAGAACCCTATTCGGACCCCAAAAAAAAAAAAAAAAAGGATTGACTTGCTTGACTTTTATGATGTTTAGTAACCAGCTTAGGGGAGAATGTTAAATGGCCACTATCCCTTTATGCAAAAGGGAAAGAATAGATGCTGTCTTATACTAGGTGCTTTCCCTAGATAGAAATCTAGCATGTAACTGTTTGGCAGGGCTGGTGATTCTAATTTATATATTTCTTGTTGTATGTTCTTCTTGACAGCCTTTGTTTTGGCTTGAATGGAAAGCTCCGAGCATGGGGCTGATGTGCGGCTGACTTCTAGGGAATAAATCGCTTGTAATTATTAGTTTTTCAAAATAAAACCTGTTATAATATTTTTATTTGCTTTCTTGCTAGGGCGAATTAATTTTTCCTTGTTTTTAAATTTTTATCCCATATTTTTCGTAGGAATCATGTTTTGGTCAAATGATAGTATGAGATTTTCCAGTGTTTTGGCTCTCTTTCCCCTTTTTTCTTTTTTTTTTCTAATAAAGATGAATACTTTTAGGTGAGGGAGGTAGCATATCGATTGACCTTTCTAATAAACTTTGAAGGGCTAGCTGGCACATGACTATTAGCATTTTTTGCTTTGGGTGATAGTAATAATGAATTGGTAGTGCGTGGAATTTCTTCGTCTATGAAGGGCATGAGAGGCTGCTAGGAATTGTCATGTTAGATTCTGTTGCTGTTTGCACCTACAAATTCCAAAATAATGTTTACATTGCTACCTGTTCAGTTTCTTTCTGCAAAGAGCCTGATCTTTTAATTATTTACTAGAGCTCATTAAAGGTATTTATGCACGTTCTAGGTTTTTCTCTCCTTTTATACTGATGTTTTCTTTTTTGTATTAGGTGCCTTGAAATGGAAGAGATGATAGAATCACTTGTTTTATCATAAATTGAAATTTGATTTTTCTTCTATCTTGTAAGCACATTTTTAAAATCATAATTTCTATTTATGAATCAGAAGATGCATATACAATGAACAATTGATGCAATAAGATGCTATCCAACTCATTCAGAATGCATGTTATTTTTTGCTTTCTTTGGATTAATTATATAATAGATGTATGCTCATGTTTGAATTTATTAAGTGAATTCTTTCATTAAAGACTTCCTTTTTTATGAAATATCTAATATTGTTTTTCTTGAATTTTTTTGAATATTTCCTTTTATCATTATTTCCTTCGATGTAAAAGCCATCCCATTAAAATGCTTGTGTAGCAATATTCTGATGTTTATGCATCAATATTTGCAACCGAGGTTGCTCCAAATCCACCTCTCTCTCTCTCTCTTTGCCTGCCTCCCTCTCTCTCTCTCAATGGTTCTCTTTTTTGGTTGAATTTCTATTCTCCTTTTCCATTTTTACTGTTTTATAATACAAGCATCCCTTGTCTTAAATCAAGCAACACAAGTGCGAGAGGTTCTCTATTTTGCATCCTCCCCAACTATTGGATTTTCATAGGCACAATTCTTAGTTAAGCTTTGTGTCAGGCTTTTTTATTCCAATGTAAATTTTGTTAATATTTTTATTTGCTATTATTTATCTAATATTTTTCTTGGATGCAGGCCTTGGACAAGTTCAATTGAAATTAGGAGATTTAAAAAATGCCCTTTCAAACTTTGAGAAAGTTCAGGAGGTGTACCCTGAAAATTGTGAAACTTTGAAGGTTAGTGGCTAAATGTCAATGAAGATCGATCATCAGCCTTTATTTGCCTAAAAGTGATTGAGATGCTTGATTTGGTTTATTTCACTGTGTAGGTTGTTGCACATATTCATGTTCAGTTTGGTCAGACTGAAAAGGCCTTGGAAATTTTCCGGAAAGCAACACGCGTAGATCCGAAGGATGCTCAGGTGGATGTTGCAGCGTATTTTGATTCATAAATGATATGTTAATATGTATTGATTTGAGTATGCCTTATGTCTTATATAGCTATTGAATAGTGTAATATGTGCATATCATGCTAATAATAACCTTAATATCATATCAAACTTTTAATTTGTAAAGTTTTATTATTAAGGTGTTGGGATATTCAATTTTGTCTAAAACGACCTATTTTGGACAAATTAGCTGGATAATTATAGTCTAAAACCCATATGTGCGCTGTTTTCTCAAATGCATTTGTATTACAACTTCTTTGTCCATCTTTTCTTAATGTGAATTATTATGAGGTTGTTTTTCTTGGTGCATTAGAATGTCTGTTAAATTGAATTCATGTGAATTAAATGTGGTTAGTATTCTTTTTGATTAATGTGCATGACTACTTGAATGCATGTGTGTACGCACAAATGCTCAAATGCACCAATGCATTTGCATTGTTGCAATTGTCATTACTGTGTTGCCACATTTCTTTTCTTATTCTTTTATTTATGAAGATTACCACAATTGCCCTATCCATCTACAATTACAATAATACCCACATGCCCTTGGTCTGAGGTTCGCTTAAAATTGAGGGATGTAATCTAAATCTAATGAGAGAGTTGCAAAACATCTATTCAACATATTGGCTGAATGGAAATAATTATCTAGAGTGATCATGATTGGTTTGGAGGTTCTCAAACTGAAGAAAACTGTTGGTTTATTGGAGCACCTAGAAAGACATCCAAGATCGGTATTTTTGCTCTAGCATTTTCAAGTATTACCTATTCTACTCACGCCTTTAAAGTCTGAGAGATGCTCATTCCTGTATACTGGATCATTGATTTGAGAATTATATATAAAATGATTAACTCTTCTTACAAGTATATTTCTTATGTGCCATGTCATAACTACAAGGAAAAAAATTATTGTTGGTGGAACCTTCTCCTTTGTTGCTGGTCAAGGAGGTATTTTCATAAATAAATCACTTACATTATAAATTTTTTTGTGTTTATCTAAATTATTTAACAATCTCTTATCCATTCGAAATCTTACTAAAAATTCAATGTAATTTTGTATTGTATTCTTCCTATTGTGTCATAGGAACATGATATGAGAAGGATAATTGGGCTTGTTAAAGAATGCAATTATCTTTACCATTTTGAGAAACCCAATGATTAAAAAAAAATACATATAATTTTCAATATTAACTCTTCTCTTCTTAAAAGAAAAAAATATGATTTCAGCACTTATGTTTTGGCCACCCATCCTTTATTATTCTCAAAAGCATATTTCTTTTTTAGTTTAAGGGTTTGTTTGGAGTGTATTGCATTTCTTTTGCAGGAGTTTCAGTTGTCGACCATCTGATGATCCGGTTAGGAGAATAGATGTTTTAGATTCAACTTATGATAACAAAGGTAGAGGTAGGCCTAGAATGACTTGGGCACATTGTATAAAAAATGATCATAATTTATTATAATTAAATGAAACTATGACACTCAATTGGACGCAGTGGTGAAGAATGATATATGTTGCCGACCTTGCTTAATGGGATAAAGGCTTGTTGTTGGGGTGTGGTGGGGTGGGGTGGGATAACGTAATATCATAATATTTCTGTAATTCGCTATCCGTTTCATTTTCAATGTATATTAAATTACCAGGATTTGGGTGAACTCCCAAAACATTGCCTATGTAGATGAGTTTTTATTGTAAAATATGACTACAATGCTTCAATAGAATGGCATAAAGCTTGTCTAGTGGCCAAATGTTAAACCTAAACATATGATTAATTATCTTAAAAACTTTACTCAATTTGCTTAAATGAATAATGTTACAAGATCTTTAGCAGTTAACAAGAACTAGAAAATATAATAGTTTAACATTAAAAAAATGCCTTCTTTTGTAGTAACGTAATATCTTAATATTTCTGTAATTCACTATCCGTTTCATTTTCAATGTATATTGAATTACCTGGATTTGGGCGAACTCCAAAAACATTGCCTATGTAGATGAGTTTTTATTGTAAAATATGAATACAATACTTCAATAGAATGACATAAAGCTTGCTAGTGGCCAAATGTTACACTTAAACATATGATTAATTATCTTAAAATTTTTACTCTATCTGCTTAAATGAATAATGTTACAAGATCTTTAGCAGTTAACAAGAACTAGAAAATATAATAGTTTGACATAAAAAAAAAATGCCTTCTTGCGTAGTGGCTTGGAGGAGGAACTATATATATGGACGTCTCATCTAAATTTGACTAAAAGATGTGCATGCTAAAGTAGCGTTATATGGGTTGAAAATATTTTTATGGGTGGTTTGCCATGGTGATGTCAACATGAGATATAACGCTTATAGATCGTATCATCTTCCTTCTCATGATGGAGAACAATAGTGAGGTTCATTCTTGCTTTTGTTTGCCCTCACAATTTCCGCTCTGCAAGGTTGGTCAGAAAATATTCATCAATCCCTTACTGATGAATTCTTTTCCACACTTACTAAAATTATTCTCTTATTTTCCCCTTTTTTTCGTTCTCATAGCGCTTCTACAACCATGTATCTTGGGTGATGAATCTGGTACCAGTGATAACTAGCCCTTTTTCCCTTCATGCCCATTGGTTCCCTTGCGGTCTCTGTATGTGGATATCACCCTAGTTTTAGCAACTTCATGGTTTAGAGTTCTTAGTAGAATATATTCAACCTTGGGTCTATTCATTTCTACTTCTAACTTCAGCTTATGCTTCCTGCAATCTACCATGAAACTTCTATAGCTGCCCACAACGGAATGGGTTAGTGTTTTCATGGTTCAATTTTGCTTGTAGTTAATGCAATTATAGTGATATGCAAGTAAGTTGGACAAGAGCAAAGTACATCTTTTTTATCTTTGTATAATTTGGCCATCGGTATGGATGATCCTAAGGATTCAGCTTTAAGCAATGTGAATACAAAATATCATCGAATTTGGACTTCTATGATATAAATAAACTCCAGATAATTATAGTGATTTCAATTTAAATTTTGGGTTTTAACTTTATATCCCTCAAGTTATGGGCTAGTTGGTCCAGATAAGGTGGTTTACAAACAGATTTTATTTGAGGAGGCTGATGTGCTAGGTTTCTGCAACAGCCGGCCTTGGTTCATATAAATATCTGTAGATTAACTTCTTGGGTTGTTTTTGTCCTTATCCAAAAGACATTGTGTTTTTTTTTTCTGCATGCTATTCACATTTTTTGCTGTAGCTCTTTGATTTAAGCCTGGAAGTATGTTCATGTGAAGATTATTTGGTCATATTAAGTACTTGTTTTATGTTTGACCTATTTGTAAATGTCCATACGTTTGAAAAGGCGTGCTTATAACTTTTTGGCCATTTTGTTTGACAGCTATCGGTTTAAATTACTGGTAAGCTAAAATTTCTAGTATCTGAGTATTCATAGATGACATGTCAGTATGCTACTATAAACTAACCTACAGTTTTTGAAATCCTTGAAATTTTATATTCTTGTTAATTGTATTATTCTAATATTAAAAACCATGTTTCTTATGTGCTATTCAATTTCTTTACATAATGAAACAGAAAGCCTGTCATAATTATGTCTGCAATGCATTTCATAGAACTTCTATAGCTGCTTGTATTTTAAAATTTGTTTTTTTATAACATTATATTTCTTTCAGTATAGATATGAATTTTAGTATTTTGAAGAGATCTCACTGAGATTCACGCTGTAATTTTATGTAGGCATTCATGGAGCTTGGGGAGTTATTGATGCCAACTGATCCAGGCGCTACTTTGGATGCTCTAAAATCTGTATGAATACGTTCGCTGCAGTTTTTGAAGTGTCCTAATCGATATAAGTTTGTTTACTCATGTTGATTTGGCTATTGATCCTGAGTGATAATGACACTATTCCCGGAGAGGACAGTACTGTTCAAATCAGTTCTCTTCCTGAAAAAATATGTAAAAGAGGAAAATTCATTTACAAATTGCAATACAGTTTCAAGTGGTGGATTTTCATCTTTTATGTGTTAATTTCTGGTTATTCCATGTGAAGGTCGGTGAAAGCAAGCCTCACAATTTGTTACTGTCTGCTCTTCTAAAATCAGGCTGAATTTCAAAATTAGTTTTTAATTGTGGGTTTGGACATCTTAGGAGCTTCATAATTGAAAATATTATCAATTAAATTTGAAAATTTTTTAATAAGTTTTTCTTTTCCTTTTAATCAGTACTTTTTTCATATGTGAAGACCATTCTTGTGCGATTGGATTTTTTTTCCTACTGCTAGAACTGCTAAATGTACTGTTCTTTTTATTTTTCAGGAGGTTCTGTATGTTTAGTATCTAGTTTTTATAGTTTTTTTTATTGATATATCGTTCGTATGTCAGGCTTTAAATATTCTTAAGAGGGGAGGTGAGGAAGTACCTGTAGAATTGCTGAACAATATTGGTGTTCTGTACTTTGAAAAGGGGGAGTTTGAGGTACACATTTTTTAAAATAGTTTATCTCTAACTGTGACTTAAGGACACTGCATCTGTTTTAGATTTGGCATTTTGTTTATTTCTTCTTTTTTTTTTCTTTTTTTTGTTTAAATAACTTTGGTGTGCATGACATGTCTAATTCCTATCATCCTCCATCCTAGTTGGCTGAGCAAACTTTCAAGGAGGCACTTGGAGAAGGTGCCTACCTGTCTTTTTTGTTTGAAAGAACAAAGTGTCTCACTGTAGATTGCAATGCATACAATGGGCAGTACTGGGATTTGACAATATTCCACCAACTTGAAGAAAATGGTATTTCTCTAGAATTCACTTGGGATAAAATAACTACTCTTTTCAACTATGCCAGACTCCTAGAACAACAACGCAACAGTGAAAGAGCAAGTATACTGTACCGGTTGATCTTGTTTAAGGTTACATATTCATCATCCTCTATTTAATTATGCAACTTTATGGTATGAATTATTTGTGGATCATGTTTTTATTTGTTATGGCTGCAATTTTCTTCTAAAATTTATTTGATATTATTTTATTGAATGGAGTGATAATGATACTTAATTTTCTCATATTAGAGATTCACTTGTTTGCTTTGGATGGATTTGAATTGATGTGCATTTCTGCCGTTTTCATACTCACTATTATTCTTTTCACTTATTATTGTACTTGCTGCCAATGCGTGAATGATGCAAAATACTATTACGTATGTATTTCTTCTACATTGCTATTCTATTTGTATGCGTAAGCAGATTACACATGTAGTCATTAAAGAGAAAATTTGTTTACGGTTGTCGAAGTAACTTAGTAACATGGTTCATTTTCACCCCCATGTTTATCTTTCTACATTCATTTGTATGCGTAAAAAGATTATGTACACCACTCTTTCTGTCACACCAGTGGTACATCATTCTTTTTCCGTCAATTTTGTTCTTTTCACCTATTACTTACGTATGTGTTTCTATTGCATTGTTATGCTATTTGTATGCGTAAAAAGTTTACATATATAATCATTAAAGAGAAAATTTGCTTACATTTGTCGAAGCAGCTTAGTAACATGGTGCATTTTTCAACCCTTAGTTTATCTTTTTACATTCATTTGGATGCGTAAAAAGATTATATACATCATTGTTTGCTGTTTCAACAGAGGTGAATAACTCTGTATAATTTTTACAAATCAGGATTCAATGTGTAAGGAATTAGTCTCACTCAATTGCCACAAATATTAATAATCCAATTCAATTTTAAATTCCTTCACATTCTCGGATGTTTGGAAGCAAGTATAATAAGTTTATCAAAACATATACAGATTTGCTAAAAATCAAACATATAAAGACACCTACCCAAAAGTTCTTAACAATATTCCAAAAAATTTCACTACCCAAAAGCTGTACAATGACACACTTAGCTAATCACCCTGGTGCTCCTTAAACTTTTCTGAAAATCAACAACATATTGGAGTAAGCTGCAAGCTTATGAAATAATTAGTGTTAAATTAACATTTTTTCTACAAAAAAATAGCGTGCATGCTCTACTATAAATAATGGGTAACAACTGTACACAAAACAAGCTTTGCTCCAATCATACGAATAATGTAAAATTAGGGGTATAAAAGCAATACATTGGAACAATCATATATTTTATTCTTTCTTTGCACAATCATATAATATTTTGTAATTATTTCATACTTAATATACATCGTTTTAGGAATGTCACTTGTACTTACATTTACTTAGACTTGATTCATTTCATTGAGTACTCACCCAATCTCTCTGCTACACTACTGCTGGTAAATGTTGTTCATCTCTCAGTATAATCATTATCAACAATCCTCCTGATATCAATAAGTCAATTCCGATTTAAATATCAAGAGTTTGGAATTCTATAAAATTTTATGTCATTTTTGCATGCGTAGGTTATTAGTATAAAATTCTACTTATTACAATTCTTGTGATATTCTCTTGATAATTTTATCTGTTGAAGTTTATTTTTCATTTGCATATAGAATTATATAAGTATACATGCAAACAATTTTTTTAATAAACGTGCTTACTAATTCAATAAAAACAGTAACATCATTAAAATCAGTAGTGTCAATTCAAGTTTGCTTTTCTATAACATATGTAGGTATTTGATGATATGAAAATATTTTTAAATACAATTTAATATCATTGTATCACATAATAATTCTATAAAAAGATTCTTTTCAATTTAACTCATGATTATCTCATCTTGTTTAAAGAGACAACCTCGTCACGAGTTTCCCTAGGCTCTCATCGAGCTCGCTATCTAGAGTATACTATTATTTATATTATAATTTTGTTGCCATTAAGAAAATCTTTAATTTATTCATTAATTCAATATATCAACAATTTTAAGTGGTGCACGTACATCGAATAAATTCTACCGCATAAGAATACAATCCCATACAGTGATTTCAGGCATAATTTTCACTCCCCATTAACTAAACAACAAACCCATGAAATTGCAATCAATTGATTAAATGCTCTTTACATTGATTGAAATAAATACAAACATTTATTTGCTTATACATATATATATACACACACACTTTACCTCCAAATGCCAGTTTCTCCGCCAAAGCCATCCTTCCCTTATTTATCTTCCTCCTGTTTCCTCTTCTTTTTTCCCTTACCTTTCTTCTTCTTCTTCATTTTCTTCTTCCCTTGTTCCAAGCTGCAACTACCACTGAGAGCCCCACTCTTGATTCCGCCCTTCGCACCTCACTTTATCGGTGGATCGCAATCCTGTCTCCCGCTGTGCTACAATGCTGTCAAGAGAAGCTTATGAGAAGAAGGGAATTTGGGAGAGGAAATAGGAGGTGTTGACCTCATTTTTATTGAGATCTTAGTTTCCTACTCCAAGAACACAAAATATAGCTTTAGGAGTTTCTTGTTGACCATCTTAGCATACCAGTAATGGAGCCCACTTCTCGTAGAACTTCAAACCATTTCTTGACTCATTTTTGTGAAGAACTCGCATGAGTGATTCCATGCACTCAACTTCTAGTTGCAAGGGCTAAGGTCCAGTAGAGGGCCCGATCCTACAGGATCAAACAACCTTAGGTGAACCTTCCGTGACTCAGCAACGCACTTGCTACACCACGCACGAAGTTGACACATTTGTTGGCTCAATCGTCGGTGAACTTGTCTGGACAACTCCAGATGATGAAACGGGCCACGTCGACACGTCCGGGACGTCAATTTTAGTCGGGAATGACACCCATATTGCTAGGGTTACGCGAATGTCATGGAAATCGATACACATTTTAGTGGGACGTGGGCTTAACTCTGATTTGAGCTTTTCCAATTAAATTGCTGCCGCCTAGGGAAACTATTCAATTTTCTGCCTATTGCTCACATAAGGACTCACGAGCCCCGCTCTTATTCTTAGAGGGACGCCCGCCTTCTTCCTCCTGGCTGGCCACATTTCGATCATCCTCCTTGCACGAAGCCGCTCAGCTCTCTTGCCTGCTTCGCCTCCCAGATTCCGAAGCTCCTCCTCGCTGCACCAAAGAAGCTCACCCCGCACGCTTGCTCGCCTCTGCGATTCATCTCTGCGAACCAAACTCCATATTCCTCGCCTCTCGATCCAACGCCTGCTTTCCTCCTCATTCGACTCCCCCTCTCTCGTTCCTGCTTCTTCTCGCTCGATCGAAGCTAAAGAAACCTTCTCTCCACTGCCTCGAAGCATTCGCCCCTCACCTGCTCCTTTCGATCCCGCATCCTCCTTCCTCGCTCGATTGAAGCCACAGACCCCCGCTTAGCTCGCCTCGCCTCTATGCACCGAAGAAACCCCGCTCAGCTTGCCTCGCCGCTCTGCATCCGACGCCTGTTCTTTTCCCTCGACCGAAGACCGAAGCTCCCCTCGCCTGCCTCTCGTCCCTCTGCCTCTCCCGCCTGGCTTCGTCTCTTTCCTCCGCGCCAAAACCCTCTCCTGTTTCCCTCTCCTCACTCGACTCCTTCTCCAGGAACGCTCGATTCCTTCTCCCTCTCACGACGACGAGTCTCGACCAGTCAATCCCGCACGCCTCTCCTCAGCACCGAGTTTCGACAGCTCAATCCAACTCGCCTGCTTCGCCTCTCTCATACACTAAAAGCTTCTCTTCTATTTTCTCAGCTCACGTCCTGCCCTATACGCCGAAACCCCCACTAGTAAGTTTACTGAAGGAAAATCGAAATTGTGGGGTGAACTGAAATCTGGAAGAAGAAAGTAAGAAGCTAAGTGGAGAATTTGATATTTCAAGCTTTCCATCAATACATAATCAATATATTCTCAGGTATTTGTTTCATACTTAATAAACTCTGCTTCTCATCTTTAAACTGAATGATCTGAATTAGCTGCAGCTATCCTTGAATTCAGAAGGAAGGTTTACATAAATGCCACTTAATTCTTTGGCATTTATCATCTAATATCTAAATTTTAATCTTTACATGTATGCCACCAATCCTATGCATGAAAAGGTATACTTCAGTATTTTTTTTTAATTTTTTTTAAGTTCAAATTTTGGTATTTTTGATGTGACGTGAAGTATTGGGTGTTATAAATGTAAAGTATTGTGTAAGTGTAAGATATGTAAATGAATAGGAATGGGGTCATATATTTATTTCTTATTTTAATTGGTCATGGGATGGCTTGGATTGACGTATGGCTTTAAGTCCTAATAAAGCTGAGCACCTTAAAGTCGTGTAGATAATTATGTGGTTCTCATGGGATTATGGTTATTCTATACCATAATTGATTGCAGAAATATTAAAGCTCTTTCTTCCTATTCTGTCTATTTGCATGAAGTAAGTGTAGGTGGTGTATGACTTATTAAGTTGTATGGACGATTCAAGAGCATGACAAGAGGAATAGTGGTCTGATAAAATAAAATATAGATATATACATAGATTTGGATATTTGGAGAACCGGTCCAATAATTGGCTCCCTTTTCGGTGGTGTTGAGCATTCTATGGTGATGAGTTTTTTTTTTTTTTTTTGAAAGAAAAGCCTTCAAGTCTCCATATCTGTAGGAATACCCAAAGACTTTCATTTTTGATATAAATTGATTGGAGAATTCTAATAAGCAATGGAAGTAGAACGATTGAATCATATACATCACAGGATTGTAGCTCACACCTTGCACATATGAACGGGCTGAATCAACAAAACAATGCACAATGATGATAGCAAGTGGGGAATTTACATACATGCTATTTGATTCTTATATATATTTATGTGTCTAACACCTACGTTTCATGTTTACAAATATAACACCTAAACTTAAATTTGTTTGCCTATATACCACCTTAGTCATGTGCAAAAAGCTACATCTCATATTTTAACAGTTTCTTTGATATGATAAGAAAGATTTTAATGGTATATAAAAATTTCAATTCTTATATATTCACATATC